TAGGATATGAAGACGAACGGATTCGATAAGTTCCACCAACATACCGCTTCTAAGCTTCTAAGATTGCCAAGATTGGGAGAACTTTTCTCGCGTGTTTGTGTATGTCACATCTGGTGTTTATGCTAAACAATTACGAAACGAGCGATTTCTCGAAACCCAACTTTTATTCGAATAAATAATTCTTACTCAACTTTTTACCACCATTTCTGTCCTTCTATGTATTACCTAATCTCGTAATTTCAGTAGCCAAACGCCGGCAGTCGGCTTATGGTGAGAGCGATTTACGAATCACTTTATCGTGCACTTTCATACGAAATGTAAAGTATCCACAATAATTTAATCTTCCGAGACTCCTCAAAACCTGCTTTTCTCTCCTATTCAGAAGTTATTTCAATTTAGATTGACTACTATCGAACTGTAGCTGCCCAACTGGGACAGATACTTGAGTATTGTTAAGGTTATTTTCCACGAAACTATGCTTTTGAACGATCCGAAATTTTGGTATGCTTGGTATCTTATCCATCCTAGGCTACCAAAGTTACGAGTTCGAGGGACCTTATCATGTAGATCAGTGGAATGATCCGGACGAGGCGTAGTTTATCCTGTGACCAACTGGTACCTGTGGCCGTCTGGTGGAAGCCTCTGGTGCACGGCCTTCGTTCGAGTCCCGTTGGAGATGCTTGTGGGACTCGAGTGGGCTGAAAGCTGCGGTTGATTTTGACCGAGAAGGTCTTTTGAAAAGTATGATTAAGTGTAAGCCCCACAATTCTGCCACGATTTCATCCTCAGTCCTTATCTCTCCTTGATCAAACTGGGATAAGGTTGACGTTGAATTTCGACGACCCCGAAATCATTCCGACGAGCAATCCGAATTGCAATTAGACCCGCATTTTCTCATTCCAGATCCTTAATCGCCGAAACCATTGGGGAGTCTCGTTTTTCAGCCAAATGGTGTACCATTGCAGATCGGTTTTTCAGCCGGTGCTGCTTGCCACACTCACACTTACTCACATACAACAGTGAAAATGTGTGTTCTCTGCAACACCCATCTCGCACCTTAGATGGAATTTGACCACAATAATCGCGGGTTCAGGGACAAACGTATTGCCGTCGGACTCCACGATGCCCTCAACCTTCGTTAAGGTCGTATGCGAACCAGATCTTCAGACAATACCAATAATAGATATGAAGACCAAGATGTTGTGGTCTCTGGTATGGTCGCAGTCTCCTTTCGATTAATAGAAATGGGTTGACCTTGTTGTCGCAACTTGGTCTTGTTGTCAAGGTGACTTAGTAGTGTGATGGGGCCACACTAGGATTGCCACAAAAGGGCACACATTTTGATGATTCGAATGTAAACAAGTGAGAAGTTGTGATAGGGCAGCAGTGAGATAAGAGGGTAAAGAGTAGATAGATAGACCAGGAGAGAAAGAGGAGTAATAGTGTAACCGTTTTCGCCAGAACGTTTGTCGAAGGATTGGCTTCATTTGTCTCTTTGACGAGTTCATAGCTCGGTGCGGCGAATGACAAAACTGACCGATGATGCCGGCGAAACATTTGAGAATGTACCAAGTCCACTGTCTGATGCTGGGAATCATGGCAATTACTATGGCGACGACTTCGGACTAGGTGCGTTCTACTAAGTCGTCCTGACGACAAGACCAAGTTGCGACAACGAGGTCAACCCATTTCAATACTCATAGTAATGCTAGCCACTTCAACGACGGGAAGTGTCATATTTTGCCTTGTTTGTTGTGCTCCATAAACTTGTAAGTCGCGACATTAACTTGATCCACGCCTCCACTCTTTCGCCCCGCCAGTACGCCTCGTTTGCTCGTCTCTTCCACGAATTGAACTTCACCGCCTGCCACCCGCACCGGGAACCGGACGAGGGAGATCTTCCCTTTCAGCTGCCCTCGCCGACGAAATGGGGAGACTCGCTCTGCTGGAACGGGACAGCCATGATCGAAAGGTAAAGCAATATGTGACTGTTTTATTAATTATTATTCTACTATTTATTAATATAAGATGTATTCACCCGATTTCGTTAAAGGTGATGAAGGACTGGTAGAAGAACAATTTTCCCACAATGATATGAGTTGCGCTGACTTTTTCATTGAATTTCACATAGCCTTGCTTTCCCAAAAGTTGTTCTCATCCTGGTTGGAGTGGATGAGAACAACTTTTGGGAAAACAAGGCTATGTGAAATTCAATGTAAACGTCAGCGCAACTCATATCATTGTGGGAAAATTGTTCTTCTACCAGTCCTTTATCATGTTAAACGAAATTGCTTGAATAAATCTCAAATTACTGATTTACCGGTAGTCATGAGAACAATATTTACTTCAAAAAAATACTATTTATTAAACACTCCCTTTCGATGGGACAATAGAATTTTGGCCTGTTTCATTCCTATTCGACTTCCTACGACTCGTTCGTCCAGTTTTGCCAAAGCTGCCACTCAATGATGCCGATCTTTCACCAGCCAGCAGGGGGCCTAGTTGTCTTCTATTTCGCTATTTTCTGTTTGCGCGTGAGACCGGCTGCCTGTCGGTGGGAGGCTCGTCTGCCCAGGCTTCTGTACCATGGACAGCCTGAAGGCTGGTTTAGCCATGGCAACTGGCATTTCGCCTCGTGTCTGACCTTTCCTTGTGAACTCGCTCCTCCGACTTGCTTTCTCATTCATCGCTCAATCCGGTTGGCAACGTAATCCGACCAGATCAAATGGCCCCTTTAACACAGTCACTACTGCCCGAGGTTAGTTGG